AGGCGGCCGACGGCGGGGCGGAAAGGCGGCGGCGGCGGCGGCGGCGGCGCTGCCGGCAGGATTCTTTGACTCGGCGTCGGCGCAAGCAGTGGCGACGGGGGTGGCGACGAGCGTCGAAGCCGCCAAGAACGCCACCCTCGCCCAGTTTGTGGCCGACGTCGGTGCTGATGTCCGCTCCGAGGCTGAGCGGGTGGCCGCCAAGGACGCCGCTCGTGCTGCCCGCCATGCCTCCGAGGAGGCTGCTCTCGCCTCGGGCCTCTCTGCCCGCCTCGCCCAGCTCAAGGGTCAGTACGGCGGCGGCCTCGGCGTCTCGCTTGACATCCTACAGGCCGCACGGGGCGCCACTGCCTCTTCCGCTGGCGCCGCCACCACCGCCACAGAGCCCACAGACGCCACTGTACACGGCGCCGCGGGCGCTCCTGCGGCAGTTGCTGCGGACTCGGACGACTCGGACGATTCGGACGACGAGCTCGATCTGGGGAGCTTGACGCGGAACTGGCGGTCCAAGACAGCCGGCGCGTGATTCATTTCCTTGCCGGCGCAAGGCTACAGCGGCTCCCACTCGGCCATGTCCGGGTCGACGAGTGCGTCAGCGTCAGCGCCACCGGCAGCCATGACCCACGCGTCCTCCGCTGCTGCTGCTGCGGCGGCGGCCGGACTCTGCGGCTTGCTAGGCGGCGACGACGACATCGGCGAGAGCGGGGTCGTCGAAAAGTCAACAAACTGATCCTGGATGGAGAAGAGCGGCGGCACGTCAAGCGCCGCGCATCGGGCATAAAAGTTGTCTAGCTCGGCTTGCGACGCGCAGTAGAACGCGAGCGCGAGCGTTGGATCAAGTCGCGAGAAATGCAGCCGCCGAACAGGCGGGGCGTGGTATGAGGTTGCGTCGATCGACGGCGAGAGCGTGACGTCAACGCACGCCTGCGTCACGTGTGGATCCAGGTACAGCGCGTACTCGCCCTGGACGCCACAAAGTAAAACGCCGAGTTGGGGCGTCCGCCCATCATGCCGCGCGATTGTGGAAAGGCGAGCAGCGCTTGCAGCGACGGATAGTACAGCGGGTTGACAGCGTCGATACCGAGCCGGAGTGGCACAAGGATGAGAAGTGGGAGAAAGCCCGCGGCCTCGCTGGGTGCGTCGTTGTCGCTGCATGACGCCGCTGCCTGGGTGCCACTGCTGCGAGATGGGAGCTCGTCCCACGGCTCGACCATAGGCACGCCAAGCACGTCCCATGCAGCACCGAGACCAAGTGTGCTGCGATCGAGAGGAACAACACGGACGGTGCGCGAGCGAGTTGGCTCGGCACTCCGGGTCAAAGGTGGGCGCGAGCGGAGCGGGCGGACGTCGAGCGCGTCGGGCGGGAGCGCCACACGGCGCACCCGCTTGGTCTGGATGGTCACGCCATCGGCAACTTCAGCATCAAACTCCTCAAACGGATAGCGCGGCCTGCGATGCGGCGTGCTGGCGTCACGGATGCGGTCGCGGAAGAGGGTCGAGTCCGATGCGACGTAGACCGCGAGACGCGGGGTGTGGAGGCCAACAAGCTCGGCGATGACAAGTGCGGTGGTATGCGGACCAAACCAACAACCAAGGCTGATGTCATGGCGGAGAGCGCCGAGCTGGGCCATGTGGTGGATGGCGTAGGGCGCAGACGGACGGTCGACGTCGGCGAACCACGAGAGGATGCGGCGGTAGAGGCGGGTGTCGCGGGACGAGGCCTTGCGGCCTTGCCCCGGCGAGGCGAGACGCCAGGATGGGCCCAGCAAGTGACCGACCAGCACATTGGCCAGCAGCATCTGGCCCGAGCGAAGCATACAGCCCCACCCGGTGTCGCTGGTCAGGAGTGATGGTTCGATGGCCGCAAAGTCTGCTCGATACGTGCACCACACCAGCGATGCCAGATGCGCCAACAGCTCGGCCTCGACCGGCGCAGCCTCGACGTGCGGGACGGCGAGAGCGGCAGCCAGCGCCGGCAGCGGTGCAGCTGATGCGGACCCGACGACGCCAGGTGCACAGACAGCGCCGAGTGCGGCGTTGCTGATGCAGCCGACGAAGCCGACAAAGCCGACGACGTCGACGAGGCAGCGGCCGGGACCGACGACGAGCTAATGGGTGTTGTGAGGACCGAGGCCCCGAGGCCGTCGTAGCGGCGGCCGAGAACGTGGACGGCACCGGCGGCTACAGCAACGGTGCCATCGTCGGGCCCGACGAGGAGCGAGCGGACCGAGGCGTAGAGGTACGAGGCGGCCGCCTGCGACGGCGAGCCCGCGGTCGTGTCTGCCAGGGTGGGCGAGTGTGTGTGTCGGCAAGGGGGGAGGGGGGGGGGGAGGGGGGGGGGGAGAAGGGAGAAAGGGTTTGGTGGGTTGGGGCTTGGGGTTGGTGTGGTGGGGTGTGGTGGGTGGTGGTGGGGAGGGGGGGGGGAGGGGGTGTGGTGTGTGTGACGGGCACATGTGGGTGGCTTCCTCTCTGCATTGGCTTCGCCCGTAGTCGTTGGCTTCTCTCCTTGTATTAATCGTGGGTGGGTGACGATTGTTCCCTCGCCTCTGGCCACACCTTCTTTTGCTGCGCGGCAGGTGCCGCCACCAACCAAGGCCACAGAGGGCGGCAGAGGGAGAAGGAGGAGGTGGTGAACAGCACCTGACTAGAGAACCAACATGATGCTAGCAACAGCCAAAGCGAGTGGGGCTGCTCGGCCTACAGTGGCAGCACAGCAGCCGACTGGGGGAGGCGGGCAGCCGGGCGTGTGGGCGGGTATGCCCTCGCAGAGCACTATGATCGTAGGCGGCTTGACGATGGGGGCGACGGCGATGGCGGCGTATACGGTGTACCGGACGGCCAAGAAGCGGGCGCTGACGCTGCCGCAGGTGCGCTCTAAGCTGCGGCAGGTGTACGTTGCGGCGGGGGTGACCGGAGCCTGCCTGGCTGCGCCGATGGTCATCACCCATCTGACGTCTGCGGCGACGATGACCGCCATCTACGGCACCATCTTCTCCTCGCGCTACTCGTTTGCAGCGTTTGGCTCCGCTGTTGCGTCTGCGACACTCGGCGCCTTCTTTCTTCCCACGTACGAGGTCGGGCACGCGAGCGCCGATGGCCTGAGTGGCGAACCGGCACCCCACGAGCCCGAAAGCGCCTACGGGCGTGGGCAGAACAAGCAGGCAGTCATTGAGCGGCCAATCAAGGTCTTTTCCAAGATCAAGCTCGCGTCGTGGCTGCTGGCGTCGATCGGCGGCGGCCTGCTGCTCGCGCCGCTCGGCGGGCTCTCGACCTCGCTGCTGGCTACCTCGGCGGGCTACTCGGTCGGTCTCTCGATCGCGGCGCACACGACGGCGTACATGGCAGCGAGTACGACTGGTTTTATTGTCACCGCCCCGCTGACAATGACGGCCACTGCGTTGGGCATGCACGCATTTCTGGAGGCGTTGCGGTACCCATTCGTGACGGTCCTTCTGCCGACGGTGGCGTCCTGCGGTGTACTCATCGGGCTCGACGCGCTGGCACTGCTCAACACGGTGGCGGAGGATCCCGACGAGGCTGATCCCGTCCATCTTGGCATGCGGACTGCAGGCGTCGCCACCTTTGCCTTTCTCCGCATCCTCTACAAGCTGTACAAGATGTACCGGACCACGGCACGGATGACGAACAAGGCCATTGGCGTGGCCCGGCGGCGGTAGAGGGTACAGGCTCTCGCGGGGAGTGGGGGAAAGGGAAATGAATGGCACTGCCGATCACGCTGTCTTGCGCACTCGTAGGTAGCATGCTGTGGCTAGGCCCTGGTTTCGGCGGTGGAGCGTAGGGAGTGTAGACACCTGTGACACCTGTGAGGAGTGGAGAATTCGGGCGAAAGCGCAGCACGCGAGACCGGGAGCGACAGCACTCGACGCACAGGTACGGAGGGGAGGGGGGGGAGGACAGGGACAGGGACGGGGACAGGGGGTGTGGGGGCGGGGCAGGGGCAGGGGCAGGGGGGTTGAGGGGGCGAGGGGAGGGATGGCCAAGACCGTGGGCGGCGAGGGCTTGCTGCTGGCTTCAGTGCGCAGGTGCGGGCGGTCGGACACACCAGGCGGCGGTGGTGGCGACGGCCCCGTGAGTGGGTAGAGGGAATGCGAGGAGTGTGTGACTCATGGCGAGAGGTTGTGATAATGGGCGTGGGGCAGGCACAGGAGGTGAGAGCATGCCCGCGTTCCGGGTGCTTGTGGAGGAGGGCAATGGCTCCGTGCGCGAGCTCGAGGCAGTGCAGCTCTCGAACAAGTTCCCCATCATCGGGAACCAGGTCCGGCTCGGCTCCAAGATTGGTGTTGACGACTGGGACCGGTATGTGCTGCGGCGCGAGAGCGCCAACGGTGCCAGGATCGATTTGAAGAAGACAACAAAGCAGCTGAAGCTGAAGAAGGGCATGACTCTGTACGTGCAGGCGGCGCCGAATCCTGGCGGACAGGCCGCCGCCGAGGCTGCTGGCGACGTCAATGGACCGCATGTGCGCGAGACGGCGGCGAGCAAGCCGGCGGCCAAAGATGGTGCGGCCAAGAGTAAGGCGACCAAGACGGGAAAGAAGAAGAAAACCACCACGGGCACTGGCAAGAGCGGCGAGGTGACTGAAAAGACTAAGGTGCTTGAAGATGGGACCGTGGTCAAGGTTGTGGTCAAGCGCAAGCGCAAGGCTGCCACCGCGTCCGCGACTGAAGATGCGGCCAAGCCCAAGAGCGCCGAGACCAAGACCAAGACCAAGGTTGTGGTGAAGAGACGCAAGAAGCGGGTAGCATCAGCGCCCGCCGAGACGACGGCCACAGACACCACAGGCGCTGAAGAGCTTGTCAAGCAGCGCAAGGAGGAGCGGATTAAGCGGCGCGAAGCGCGGGCCAAGTCCCAGAACGGGACCGACGATGCCGAGACAATGCGCAAGGCGCGTGTGGCGGCGCGCAAGGCAAAGCGTGAGGCTGAGGCCAAGCGGCGCGAGGAGGCTGAGGCACAGGCTGAGACTGAACGCAAGGCACGCCGTGCCAAGCGTGAGGCCGATCGCAAGGCCGCGGCCAAGCAGCGCGAGGAGGAGGATGCCAAGGCTGAAGCCGAGCGCAAGGAACGCCGGGCAAGGCGCGAGGCTCAGCGCAAGGCCGCCTCAGCCGAGGCTAGGGCGGCTGCGCAGCGGAAGGAGGAGGAGGGGACTGCGCGACAGCGCGAGGAGGTTGAGCGCAAGCGGAAGGCTGAGAAGGAGGCTGCTGCTGAGCGCAAGCGCATGGAAGAAGAGAAGGCCGCCGCCGCCGCCGAGCGGAAGCGAGAGGAGGAGGCCAGGCGCAATGCAGAGGAGAAGGCTGCTGCTGAGCGCAAGCGCAAGGCTGAGGAGGAGGCCGCCGCCGCCGCCGAGCGGAAGCGAGAGGAGGAGGCCAGACGCAAGGCAGAGGAGAAGGCTGCTGCTGAGCGCAAGCGCAAGGCTGAGGAGGAGGCCGCCGCTGCCGCCGCCGTCGAGCGGAAGCGAGAGGAGGAGGCCAGACGCAAGGCAGAGGAGAAGGCTGCTGCTGAGCGCAAGCGCAAGGCTGAGGAGGAGGCCGCCGCCGCCGTCGAGCGGAAGCGAGAGGAGGAGGCCAGACGCAAGGCAGAGGAGAAGGCTGCTGCTGAGCGCAAGCGCAAGGCCGAGGAGGAGGCCGCCGCCGCCGCCGCTAACCAGAAGCGCATGGAGGAGGAGGCCAGGCGCAAGGCTGAGAAGGAGGCTGCCGCCAAGCGCGAGCGCATGGAAGAAGAGAAGGCCGCCGCCGCCGCCGAGCGGAAGCGAGAGGAGGAGGCCAGACGCAAGGCAGAGGAGAAGGCTGCTGCTGAGCGCAAGCGAAAGGCCGAGGAGGCCAGGCGCAAACGCAAGGCCGATGAAGAGAAGGCTGCTGCGGATGCCGCCGCCGAGCGCAAGCGCAAAGCAAAGGAGACCAAGACCAAGGCCACACGCGCATCCACGGCACCCGCCCCATCGTCACCACCACCGGCGGCAAAGTCGTCGCGCGTCACGGGTCCGGCATCGCCGGCCGACCCGAACGCATGTCGCAACTGCAAGAAGAGGATGTACCCTGCCGATCCACAGGTCAACGTTGGCAAGAAGAAGTTCCACAAGACTTGCTTCCTCTGCGCCGAGTGCGGCAAGCGCCTGACGCCGACGACATACCAGGCCGAGGACGACATTATTTTCTGCAAGCGCCACGCCAACGACTACATCCGCAATGGGCGCAAGGCCGACGAGGCCCGCGCCGCCAACGCCGCCCGCTTTGAAGAAAAGGTGCGCAAGGCCGAGGCGCAGCGCAAAGCATCGATTGTCGATCCATCTACCACCAAGCGCGACAAGGATGCGTGCCCGACGTGCTCCAAGAAGGTCTACATCGCCGATCCGCAAGTCCCGGCCGAGGGTTACAAGTACCACAAGACTTGCTTTGTGTGCTCATGGGACAAGTGCGGCAAGGTCCTCACTGCTCGCACTTACGAGCGCCTTGACGACTTGCTCTTTTGCAAGCGCCACCTATCCGACTACCAGCGCGCTGGCCGTCCCAACCGAAAGTCGACGACGACGTGGTCGCGAACCCGTCCGACCGCCGCCGACAACGCCGCTAAGGCTCGCGCTTCTCCGCCGATCGCGTCTGGCGGCTCCAAGGTCGAGCTCAAGACGTCTGCAAATGGGCCCACAAAGTTTGATCCCAAGGCCCTGCTCGTCAAGCGTCGTGTGACCCAGCACACATTCAACGACTCGTCTGTCGAGCTTGCCAAGAAGGGTGATGGCACGTTCAACGTCGGCTCGGTCCTCCGTAAGGCCAAGGCCGACAAAGAGCCTGTTCTCATGCGCATCAAGGGTAAGCGCCAGCCGTTTGCCGTGTATATGCCGGTCGAGCCGGCCTCGCTCAACTCGGGCGACTCGTTTGTTCTTGACCTCGACACGACCCTGTTCGTCTTCAAAGGCCGTCGCTCCAACCGCCTCGAGAAGGTCACTGCCATGCGCGTGGCGACCCGTATCCGCGACAAGGAGCGCTCCATGCGCGCCACCATCCACGAGATCGACCAGGGCTCCTCCGACCGCGATGTGAGCAACCTGCCGTTCTGGACCACCATCGGCGGCATGTCGCCCGACAGCGTGGCCCCGCCCGACTCGGCACCCGACGACGCCACCTACGAGGCCGAAGTCAACGCCGTCACCGTCCTCTACCGCGTCGCCGCCGACGGCAGCCTCGAATCGGTCTCCACCGGCCGGCTCGACGCCTCGCCCTTGGGCGACAACGACGTCTTTGTCCTCGACTCGCCGCACGAGGTTTACGTCTGGCTCGGCCGCAAGACGCCGTCAGCGCTCCGTAACGTCGGCGTTGACGCCGCCAACAGGCTCATCGCCGACCGCACGCCGGCTTCACCGGCCTGGCTCAAGCCCCAGACCATCAAGCAGAACACCGAGACAACTTTGTTCATCGAGAAGTTCTCCACATGGGGCGAGGGCATGTCCATCGCCAACAACAACGCCAAGTACGTGCTCTCCGCCAAGGAGGTCGCCGCCCTTAAGGCTAAAGAAGAGGCCGAGCGCAAGGCCCGTGCTGCCGAGCGCGCCCGCAAGGAGGCCGAGGAGGCCGAGCGCATGAAGGATCCAGCCTACCGCGCCCGCAAGGAGGCAGAGGCCGCAGCTGCCGAGCAGCGCCGCAAAGAGGAGGCCATCAAGCGTCGCCAGCGGCTGCAGCACCGCGCCACCACCGGCGCCAGCAGCTCTCGTATCAAGGACCTCCAGTCCAAGCTCGCTCTCGATGTCAGCAAGATGGACCCGTCGCGTGCCGCTCCCAAGCCGGGCCAGGCCCGCGCTCTCGCCGCCGTTGATCGTGACGCGCGCAACGCTGTCGCCACCCCGTCAGCCTCGGCTGCTGCAGGCCTCGCCGCCATCATGACTGGCGGTGCGCCGGGCGGAGCCCTGCCGCGCAAGCGCGTCTCGGCCGCCCAGCAGGCCGCCATCGACGCCCAGAAAACAGGCACAACCGAGCGCCTGACCACGCCGGCAAAGGCTCGCCCGGTCGGTCCGGCCGCATCGCGGCGCGGCCGCAAGCGCCCAACTCGTCGCCGCGGCGGCGCTGGAGTCGACGCCTCTGCAGCAGCCGCCGCCGCCTCGAGCAACAGCTAGCCACCCTACCTGCTCGCTCCCGTAAATCGACTTGCATCGCCACTGGCACCACGGGTTTGGCTCCGCGCCGCCACCGAGTCCCCCCACCCCCCCGTCCGCCACCGCCGAGCTGGGGCACCCCTCTCTCCGACATCGACATCTCAGACTCTATGGCCACGAGTCAAGAACCAGAAACCCCTCCGGGACGCATCGATGCCTCTGTGTGCGGGTGGGATGAAGGCGTGGCGGTGTTCGGCGGCTTTGTTCGCGGAGGCGCTGCGTGCAACGAGGTGTGGGTCGGCCGGCCGGGCGCCTGGCGCTGCCTGTACTCGCCGCCGACGCTGGGCCTAGACCACCGGGCCCATCTCGACAAGCTCATGGCCATGCTGCGTGGTCCGCGGCCGGCAGCAGCAGAGGTGCGGGCGTGGCTGGCCGATCCGCTCGCTGACGGCGGCGCCACCGCCAACGTGACCGCAGGCGGGCGGCTGGCACTGGTGGTGGCGCTCGCCAAGGAAAGCCCGGCGGCAGCTGCGGTTCTGGCTACTGCCCAAGACATCTCGCTCGATGCCGTTGACGCCGACGGGGTCTCGCCGCTGCAGGCTGCCATGGCCTCGCCGCATGTCGAGCTTGCGCAAATCGTCGCCGCACGCGCCGCACACGCCGCCCTTGCTGCTACGAGCGACGCGCCTCCGGATGCTCCGACATCACGGACGGCGGCCGCGGCTGCTGTCTCACCCGAGGGTGTGCTGTATGTGTGTGGCGGACGCGAGGTTGTTGAGAGGCGGATGAGCGTGCACGCCTTTGACCTCGCCCGGGGCGTCTGGCTGCCAATGCCGCGGGCGACACGTGACTCGCCGCGGAGCGTGGCTGGAGCTCGGGCACTGTACTTTGCGCCGCTCGACTCGGTATTTGTTCTCGGGGGACGATCTGTCATTGCCGAGGCAAGCGATGCCGGCGGGGTGTGGCGGCTCTCGCTGCGCACCCACGAGTGGCGCCGGGTCGAGCCTGCAAGCTCGTCATGGGACACACCACAGCTCTCTGACTATGCGCTCATCTATGTCGAGCGGCTAGGATTGGCGATTCTGAGTGGTGGAATGGATAGCACGACCGGCGTACCGAGTAGAAACGTGTATGTATTTGTTCCATGGGACGGAACACTTCACAAGCTCGACGCTGCCGAGCTCCCAGTCGGCATCATGCGGCATGCGGCGTGGATTGATGGATCGTCACTGGTGGTCGCCGGCGGCGTCTCCAGTGACGGCGAGCCGTACCGGAGTTCGGCGATGCGGGTCTCGCTGGTCGATGCTGGCGGCGGAGTGTCGAGCAGCGACAGCGCACAAAGCGAGGCGTCTGCTGCAGTGGCGTGTGCCCTCGCGGGGCTTCGGGACGCCGGGCTTGTGCGCCTCGATGCGACGGGCGAGATGGTGGCGGTGTTTGGCAAACGGGCGAGCGGATACGTCGAGGCGGACGCAAATGCGGACCTGGTCCTGGCCGCCCCACCCGTGGACGAGGCCATCCTGGCCACCCTGCAGCGGCATGCTGGAAGCCAGGGCGCAGTGTTTGGATGTGGCATGGCCGGACACATGCAGCTTGGCCTTGATCTTGAGCTCGGCATGATGGTGGGCGCACCAAGCCGCGTCGGCCACCTTCCACCTGTCCGCGCGATCTTTGCAAACGGCGTCGCGTCGTTTGCGCTTGACGCCGCGAGCGACAACGTCTACATGTGGGGTGCCAACTGTTGTGAGACAGCCACACTCGTTCCGCATCTACGTGGCAAGCTTATCTCTAGCATCGGCGTCGGCGTGGTGTTTGCCGTGGCGGCATCGGCAGCAAGTGGGCGGGTCTACACGCTCGGAACCTCAATCACCGGATCACTTGGTGCAGCGCAGCAGCTCTCTCCGGATGCATGCGAGCTGACTGATTGTCCGTGGCGCCCGGCCGGGGTGAACCACGTCGACGCGGGCGCGCTTCATGCGCTGCTCCTCGACTCGGAGGGGCGTGTTTGGTCGTGGGGCGAGAATCCGCGAGGGCAGCTGGGCCGAGGCGGCGATCCTACAAGCCCGGCTCTTGTGGAGATCGGAACACGTGTCGCCGCTATAGCTGCCGGTGCGACACATTCTGTGGCGCTCTCCAGCGACGGGCTCGCGGTCTACGCTTGGGGCAGCCGTGACGCGCTCGGATTGGAGGCACACACCGTCGAGCCGCTCGCGCTGGAGATTCCAGACGAGCTAGCACTGCCCGTGACACACGTAGCGGCTAGTGAGGCATCAATCATGCTCATCGATGCTCGCGGTGCCTTGTTTGCCTGTGGTAACCCCACAAACGGTCGGCTGGGTGTGGGCGAGGTCGATGCTGGAGTGACCGCCCTAGCCCTACAGCGGGTGACAGGCCTCGACGGTGTCAAGGTGGTCAAGGTGGTGGGCAACGGAGCGTATGGCTATGGCCATTGCTGTGCACTGGCAGACGACGGGCGGGTCTTTGTCTGGGGATCAAACGCGCAGGGTCGCCTGGGTCTCGGAAGCCAAGCGCCCGGCGTGGTTTGGACGCCATGTGAGCTGGCATGGGCAAGTGCACCCGGGAGCGTTTCGGTGACTGATATTGCAGCCGGCGGAGCGCATCTGCTGCTGGCGACCGAGACCAGACACGCAGCTGCATGCCCGGATCCCGACAAGGGGAAGGAGGAGGCAGAGGAGGCGGGGCCGCTGGGCCCGCTCCTGGGCCAGCTCCCGACCGAGCTTCTGTTCCTCATCGTAGATGAGTCCAGTCTGGCCAGTATGCTGGCGCTCGGCGCAACGTGCCGGGCAATGGCGGCGATTGTCGACGACCCTCTGCTGTGGCGGCGGCGGATGGCGACAACGGCGTGGCCGGATGGCGAAACGGTCCGTCACGCCATGCTCGAGTACGAGGCGCGCTACGGCGGGGCCTTCAACACGCCGTGGCGGACAATTTTCCGCGATGCGTACATTGAGGCGTTCAACCCGCGGTACCACGACCGACAGACGCTGGCGCGACGGCGAGCTGGGGCGCCGAGTACGGGTCTGGCCGACAGAGTCGGGTGGTTCAAGTCGATGGTTCGCAAGACGCTTGGTCTGGCGCCGACTAAGCGGGATTCGTGTTTGTTTGTCGGCCTAGATGCTGCAGGCAAGACTTCGCTCTTGTACCTTCTCGCGAGAGGAGAGCTTATTATGACTATTCCGACCATCGGCTTCAACATCGAGGATCTCAAGGTACCCGCCGCCGGTGTGCTGACATGCTGGGACACCGGTGGATGCGATCGGATCCGCCCGCTTGTGCGGCACTATCTCGTCGGCACTGGTGTGGTGGTCCATGTTGTGGCGGCCCAAGACGAGCGGCTAGTCGAGTCTGTCGACGAGTTCCACAGCTTTACGCTCATGGCGGAAGCACTCGAGCCGCGGGTCAAGGTCGTGGTGGCGGTCCGCCAGCCTCCACCGGACCACCCACAGCCGCCGCGCTACAGCATGGATGACATCCGCAGTACGCTCCTGGCACGGTCGGCCATCGACCAGCTCCCGTGGCGAATGGTCGAGTGGTCGCACCAGGACGTGTCGCAGGTGTGGGACGCCCTGGCTTGGGCAATGGAGTGAGGCTTGCCGTGCGAAAAAGGCTGTCAGGCCGATGTGGGAGATGTTCGATAATCACACGCTTCCCGCCCTCACTACTCACACCCCATGCTTCCACACAGCAGGATAAAGACGTACCAACATCATTGCAGCATTTACACTACAATGTGGCTCTCTAGTAGGTGAGTATGCTGTGTGTGTGTGGGCAACAGGAAGAGTAGGCAGATTTCCCGCCCAAAAAGAATGAGCCCCGCCCACTTTTCCCGCCCTTCGAAGGAGGCTCCTCCTACCTTGGGGGGGTTTTTGGGCCGGGCCCCCCAAGCCCCTTTTTACAATTTTCCCCCCCCCCCCCCCCCCCCCCCCCCCCCACTAGTGTGCGAGTAGTACACTCAAACACGTCGCCACTCTGGATATTGCAGCAGTAGCTTGCGATGGGGTGGGGGCTAGTAGTACAAGCGCAGATCGGGGCCGAGGACAGCATATTTGTCTCATCTATATAATTATATATTATTAAATATATTAAAACATAATACTACAATGCAAAACACAATATTTATATTTTGCCTTCACAACGCACAATATTTTATATAAATGTATTATTTTATGGTTGTTGACGGTCATTTAAGCTGTTTTGTCGCCATATTGATGATGCACACCCTGCCACCTGGCAGGACCTCTCTCAGCTCTCAGCCCTCCAGCCCTCCATCCTCCCCTCTTCTTTTGCAGAGCCCAGCGCGGAGCGATATAGGATGTACATTGTGCTCTCCAAAGCAGCCAGTCTACGATCTATTGACTTTCTCTTGACAATCGACAACGCCCTCCTGCTCAGCCGCAGAGGTTTGCGCAAGAGAGCGGATTGCGCCCGAAGGCGAGGGTCCAAGAGCATGGGAGCACTGTGGAACACAAGTAGTGATGTGCTACATGTGGTTACCGGGCGCCCTATCTGCGGCAGCTGACTCTGTCGGCATCAGCACCGAAGAAACGTCGGGGATGACACCCCCGGACGCTATCGTCACCGACTCCAGAAGCTTGTTCAGCTCTTTGTCGTCCCGGATGGCCACCTGCAGGTGCCGCGGCACGATGCGCTCTTGGCTGTTGTCTCTGGCGGCAATGCTAGCCAGTTCGAGGAGCTCGGCCATGACATACTCAATCACTGCTGCAAGATAGACTGGCGCCCCGCTCCCAATCCGCGCTGCATACTGTCCCTGCCGCAGCATGCGGTGCGTCCGCCCGACGGGAAAGATGAGTCCAGCTCGCTTCGACCGCGCTACCGCTGGTGCATCCATCTTCCCACTGGGACCCACGAATGCATCCGCTCCTCCGTCAGCGCCGCAATCGTTTGCGCCCTCGTTGGCATTGTCACGTTTGCCGCCGCCTCCACCCGCTTCAAGCGCCGCCCGGATCCCGCCCACCTCTCGCGTCTTCCACGCCCTGCTCAACACCACAGTCACCTCAGGAACCGAAAAGTCGGGATGAAGCTCGTTGATCCGTGGGCGCATCCACTTGGAGAACGCGGCCCAGGCATCCGAGAGCGACAGCTCGGCCACCATTGCGAGCACCTCGGCCTCGAGGTCCGCGGTCGATGCCACCGCATTCTCCGCCACCGCATCCACCGTATCCACCTCATCTACGCTGTCTCTTGCGCTCTCTGCTTGCTCTGCCTCGCTGCTTGTCGCCTCGCTAGCGTTTGCAGGCGAGGCGTTACGCGGCTCCGACGAGGTGTACCGCATAATGGCCGTAGTTGCATTCGAGACAGCATGCTTAGCCAGCTCTCCTGGCAGCAGCAGACGGACTGCAGTCTGGATCTCGCGCGACGTTATGGTGGCCCTCTTGTTGTACTGCGCGAGCTTGCCAGCTTCTGTGGCGATCGACGCAAACAGGTCGTTGGCCATCGCGTTGCAAATGGCCATCGCCCCATTCGAAATGCCGGTCTGAGGGCCAACCTGCTTCAGAACCTTGTAGATGTACGACGAGAACACCGCCGCCCTGTCCTTGGCCCTGCCTCCACACTTTTTGTCCTGGCCCCCATCCATGTTCATGTCTGCCGAGTCTTGCCGAGTTGCCCTGTGTCGTGTTGCGCCTCTCTGACACGCACCACTTACAGGGAAGAGGCATGCCGGCTGCCCAGTGCCTACTAGCCGCCTGAAAAGGAAAACAAAGGTGCCGACCAGTCTATCAGCCGACCAGCCGACCAGCCGACGAGCCCGACGAGCCCGACCAGCCCGACGAGCCCGAACAGCCAACCAACCCCCACACTCCACCCCCCCCCCCACCCCTCCATCCCCCCCCCTCCCCCCCCCATCCATGTCCACACCCGACCAGCCAGTGGCCCTGGCGGTCCTCGCCACACAGCTGGTCCGGACGGCATACACGGAGCTGACGTCCATCGTGGCTGGCGTCGCTGCGGCACCCGACGAGGCGCGCAAGCGGGCCCTACAAGCGTACTGCACCCTTGTCCGCCACCGCATGCTCCGCCTCGCCGCCTTGCTGCAGTGGGCGCATGCCCAGTGCGGGCGCGCAGACACCGACGCCCTTGTCGCCAAGCTCCGCGGGACGCACGCCGCCTTTGAGCGCACCGCCGAGAGCCTGCACTACGCCGGCATGACCCACCGAGCCCTTCTCGCTCCGCCGCCTCCCGTTGCGCCCGCCTTGGACCTTCTTGCAACAGGCTCGTTCCGCGGCATGCCTGCCGCCGTTCTCGACGGCTCGCGCCCGCGCCCGCCGCTTGACGTCCAGACCGCCGCCATCGACCTTGTCCACTCGCACGTCACGGCTGCTCTGCTGGACGAGCCACGCCCGCAGGGTGTCACCGTCGCGCTTGTTGCCGGCGCCCTCGTCATGACCGCTCCTGGCCAGTACATCCTCTCGCTTACTCTCGACGTCTCGCACCTCGCCCGGCGTGAGCTCGAGGACGATGCCCCGCCCGCGCCGCCGCGCTCCTGGCTCATCGCCGACCTCGAGCTGGACGTACGGACCCAGAGCTCTGAGGGCTCACTTGCGCGCGTCCGCCTTGACCCACACCAGCACGAGATCCTCAAGGGCCATGTCTTTACGGCCATGGCCTCCGCACCTGCCCCGCTCCTTGCCGCCCACGACCTCCTCGGCCGGCTCTGCCTCCATCTCCGCATCGACGTCCTCTTTGCCCAGGCCGGGGCCCTCCGCATGCTCTGGTGGGGCTCCTCGGTCGCACCCATCCGCGCCGACGAGGGCTTTGTCACTGCCTACTGGGCTTTGTCGGCAAAGACCAAGCTTGTCATCCGTCCGCAGGCCTCCAAGCTCATGGCCCGCTTCGACCCGCCCATTCCGGCCGCCCGCCCGGCCCTTGACGCCGCCATCTCCCACATTGATGTCTTCAACGCTTCCTTTGAGGCACTTCTCATCTCGGCCATCAACATTCATGTTTCCCATGTTCTCGACGCTGCCGGAGCCGCTCTTCGCGCCCGCGCCGGTGTCGCTGCAACTGCCACCAGCAGCCTCAGCTTTGTTGTCCGCGCCCGCGTTGTCTCGCGGACCGACCTGCTTCAATCCGGCCTCTCTTCGGCCCGCATGGTCCTGCACTGGGACCCGATGCTGGCGCCGGGCGGCATGCTGGAGCTCGCCGTCCGCCTGGTCGACGGCGCCTTTGTGGCTTCGGACTCGCTCTCGGTCAGCAACGCCCGCGTCCGCGACCTCGTCGCAGCTCTGCCAGCGCTCCACGAGCTTGGCACGTGCCCGGTCGATTCTGCCCCGGTCCTTGCCGCCGTCCGTGCCCTCGAGTCGGGCCTCGCCATTGATGCCGTCGCTGCCGCCGCCACCACTGCCGGACTCATTGTCGAGTCGGCGCCGTGGCCTTCAGCCGCGCCGGCCGTCGTCACCCAGCTCCTCAGCGACCACGACACTATCCTCTTTTGCCGCCTCCCGCAGCATTCGCACCTTGCGTACATCGTCCTTGCCCTCGACGGGACCTCGTTTGCCAAGTTCTGGCTCTTGGTAGTTGATCACAGCACAGACGCCGCTACACTCCCGGTCATCTCTTTTGGCCCGCTGCCGAGAGATGCGCTCGACATGGCCCGCGCCGCGCTCACCCCCGCCGTCACCCGCCTGGGCCGTGGCGGTCCGGCCTCGCCGGCCACTCCCGGCAAGCGCCCAAGCGCCCACGGCCCTGCGCTCTCGCCGTACTCGGCCAAGCGCCGCAAGCGGCTTGACGCCTCTCCGGCCTCGATTGGATCGGAGACCACGCCGCAAGCCCAGGCTCCTCCTGTCGCCAAAGGCCCCGTCCCAATGGACGTCGTCACGCCGGCCCGGCCGGTGGCCAAGCCGTCGTCTGAGCCGGCGTCACTCCTTGCTCGGGCCGTCGACGCCCTCCCGCACCAGGACCTTGTGGCCTTTTTCGCTGCTCTCCTCACCCAAGTTTCACGCTGCGTCCACGACCGCGTCCTCGACTACCTCCTCAAGCAGCAGCAGGTGCTTGTCAAGGAGTGCTCCGACGGCTTTATCCTCCACATCAACTGCGGCTCGCTGCCGGCCACCTCGATTGTCCTTCGCCTCGCGCCGTCGGGTGCCTCGTGGTCGGTGGTCGTCGCCCTCGCCAACGCCCCGTTTGATGTTGTTCTCCCTGACGGGCCCTCGCTCGATCTCCCACACATCAAGACCTCGCCGTCGGGCAAAACCATCTTGCTTGACTATGTCAACGGGCCGTCGTCGGTCTCTAGCCTCCTCGCTGACCTCAAGGGCATCATCCGGCTAGCCGAGCTCTCAACCCAGGTCGCGCCGCTGCTTTCCAACGCGGCAGACCTTGCCTCCCACTTTACCGTCTTTGCCCACACCTACTCGTGTCTCTGCCTCAAGGTCGCCCGTGAGCTGTATCCGGTGCCCGGCGGGAGCCCACAGTCGGCGCTCTATGTCGTCATCTCGCTTGACATTTCTGGCTTTGGCCTCTCGTTTGAGCCGCCGTCTCCGATCCTGGAGGCTTTTGTCCCGTTTTACACCGCGCTCCTCAACCGGCAGCGTGCGCTGGACGTTCTGCTCTCGACCCTCGCTCGCGCACTTCCCATCCTCGCCCAGCTCCAGGCCCTCCGCGCAAGCCTCCCGCGCGTCACCCTCGTCCCGCGCTCATGCACCTCGGCGAGGCTCATCTTCCCGGCGTCGACTGCCAACGCCACTTCCGCCGCCCCGGCGCTAGACTTGCGGTTCTGCCCGGGCGGCCGCCTCTTCCTCTCCGACGGCGCCATCTCCATCTTTGACCCAGCGGATGCCGCGCCCGCCCTTCCACCGCCACCACCGCCTCCAGTCAAACCTGTAGTCTCTGCGCTCATTGCGCACGCCACAAGCATCGCAAGCGCGCCCGCGGCTCCCGCCGCCTACGCCGCCTACAGCAGCGCTGATGGCGGCGCAAGCGCGGAAGGCGACCGCTCAGGCTCGCGCGCCCGCCTGCCTCTCTTCGACACCGTGCTCAAGAACGCAGCCGCTGGCGGACGCACTCCACAGGCGGCGCCGCGCACCTCGGGCGACGACCTCGCCAATGGTCTCGACGATAGCAACCTCGCCCACCGCATTGTTCCTGTCGACGCTTTGTCGGCGACGTGCAAGGCTTTGGTGACAGCTTCCGGCGCTCACAACACGCTCCAAGCCCTCGCTCGAGGCCTTGGCCTTGAGCGCGACGCCGAGACCGGCGCATCGGTTGCCCTCGTCTACACTCACGGCTCGCTCACCGCCAAGTTTGCGCTCAGCTCCTCAGGCAGCATTGGTGTCACCGCCTCGCATCCGCTCCTCACCGGCAGTGCGACAACAACCATGTCCCAACTGTTTGCCATCGGCATGGCTGGCGCCGGAACCTCAACACACGACATCGTCTTCCTCGCCCGCTCTTTTGCTGCTCTTGCAGGCCTCGAGTCGGAGCAGCTCACCGAGTTGCTGGTCGGCGTCGGCGAGCTGGCCACACTCACAAAGACCGCTCCGGAAGACCTTACCCTCTTGCTGAATCGACCGGCAAGCCTCCCGCAAGCATACGCTCCGGCATTTTGGGTCAACCCCAAGGCGCAGACCATGTCATTCATTCTCGGCGAGGTCTCGCGCCCGCTCCGCGCCCTTCCGCTCACCATCCGAGTCGACAAAGACAGCAACAGCTCGTCGATCGGCCTTTGGATCCCGCCCGCGGCCGCGTCCCAGATTGCGGCGACGCCACGCTTGACCAAGCTCCTAGACCAAGTCGCAAGCACAGCCCGCGGCTCGTCATCGACCTGGATCCGTGCCTGCCTTGCCAACGTCTCCCTCCAGTGGCGTGCGCTCGGTGACGAGATGGAGATTGTGTGGGAGGCGGAAAGCAACTAAAGCACAGCTCGCGTCCCATCGCAAAAATGCATCCTCCCGGCCTGAATCCACATTTATTGACACGCACTCATTGTGGGTGCTTGTGGAGGTCGTCGTCATCGTCGTCGTCGTCGTCATCGTCGTCGTCGTCGTCATCGTACTCGTCGTACTCTTCAAAGTCCTCTGAAAACCCAGCCGAGTCGATGCTTTCAAGTGCCCGCGCGCCAGCAGCGCGAGCGTCGTCATGCGACTTGCGGGTGAGTTCCGGGCCCGACGGCGGGGCGGGATCCGGCGGGCGGTTGTTGCGGCGCTGGGCCGTCAGCTGGGCTCCGCGCTCCGACGAGCGGGCAATTTCTTCGGTGACCTCGGCCTTGAAGAACACACGCAACTCGTCGATCCGGGCCATGGGCATGCCCTTGAGCCACGACTTGGCAAACATAGTCCGGCACACATCGTCGCAGTCGTACAGGAGCGAGCGCGGGCGCTTAGACAGCATGGTGTAGCCATCAACAAAGTCGGTGATGGCAAGAAACTCGCGCGAGAGAAGCTTGCAGATGGCAAGGCCGGCGCGGAACATGATCTTGGGCCCCTCGCAGAAGAAGCAGTCCCAGATCCGGAGCGTGGTCTCCATCGGTAGCACGTTAATGTAGAGGCAGAGGAGCCACTGTGCAAACATCGGCGTCATGTCGATGCTGAGCGCGATGAGGTGGGCATGGAAGCGCGGAAGCTTTTCGGCGACGAGCGTGAGGAGAACCCGCTGGTCGATCTGGAACTGGAGCATGTCCGGCGTGTGGTAGTCGGGGAGTAAAACGTCGACGATGGTGACCAGCGTCCAGAACGCTTGCTCCTCGTCCATGTGCAGGAGAAGAAGGGCAGTGATAAAGTTGAGCGACTGGCAGTACCCAACCCGCGGGTTGAGCCAAGAGAAGGCAACCAGGACTCGCCGCAGCGCATCAAGTTCCGTCGCCCGGTTGAAGATGACCGAGTCTGGAAAGGTCCGGCGGACGTCGAGCTCAATCTGGATGGTATGCCCTGAAGTCTGGCCCTGGGTCAGCTCAAGGATGCGCGCGTACATGCCCGGGTTATCTGCAAGCTTGGCGCCAGCGCCCGACATGGCCAACCACATCCTTCCGCGGAGCAGCGACGGAATGCCGCCGCGGACAAGTTTCTTGAAGGTTTTGGCGTTGGGCGCCGTCTCCAGTGAGACTACCGTTGGGTCGGGAAGCGAAGCGAGATACTTGGCCCACCGCTTCCGCTGCTTGACCACCTTGGTCTCGTGGTACCGCAGCATGTACGTGTACTCATCTTCCCCGATCTCGAACCCGTACTCGGAGATGTACATGTCGTCACCTACCACAAAGTCAAAGTCTTCGTTTCCGCGAGCCACAGCGCTGTCGTCGCTTCCCGAGCCTTCTGTGGCAGGCGACGCCGTCAGCGTTTGCGGGTTGCGGACGTGAGCACCCGGTGCTGCCAGCGGACTGCTTGCTGCCCGCGAGCGTGCTACCACCCGCGGCCCAGCCGGCCGCGTCCGCAGCGCCTCACTCCGCACCGCACGAGTAACAACAGCCTCCAGCCGTGATAGCAGGTCCATCATCTCTTCGACCGAGCCTCGTCCGCCAACATCCGGCGGCACTAGCGTGCTTCGGGCCCGCGCCAGCTCGGGTGCAAGCCCAGCCACATCCATGGCCCAAGCATCTAGCGCTCCGACGAGCGGAGCGGTGGCGGCCTCAACGACATCGTGCCCAGTGCCATCGCCTAGCGCACACTTGGCCTCCCGCAGCGCATGGAGCGCGTCCGAGCCGCGCCGGACTCCGCCTTGATACGCGTCCTCTAGCGCCGCCACCGCTGCTGCCGCCACCGTCCGTGCACTCGCGGCCTCGGCGCTCAGCTCTGCCAACGACACCCGCAGCCGAGCAAACGCCCATGCCACGTCCTCCACATCGCCTGCGCTGTCCCCAGCCCTGGCGACAGCCTCCTCCCCGACCCCGGGTTCAGTGACCGCGCCCTTGACCCCTGCAGCATCAGCATCAGCATCAGCGCCTTTGCCCATCCCAACAGCATCTCCAGCTCCCACTCCCTCCGCAATCACTGCATCCTCCACCAGCTCCTTGCCAGCCGCAGCCTCGGCGGCGTATGCTTGCTCGCCCACCGCGGACACGTGCGACGGCGACGGCGACCGCGGCGGGGTCGGCGGGAGCGGTCTGTTTGGCGGCGTCCGTCCACTCATGTTCCGTGCCGTGGTCTTGTATTCGGCCCTTACTCCACACCCTACACTGCCTTGCCCGTACTCGGGTGCTGGCTGGCTGGAGACAAGGCTGACCGCCTACCCTCCCTCCCTCCCCCCCCGA